GTTCATTAGATTCCACATATGAGTGAAATCATGTGGTGCTTGTCTTTCTCTGACTGGCTTATATCACTCAGCACAATGTTTTCCAGGTTCATCCATACTGTCGTAAAAGGTAAAATTTCCTCCTTTTTACAACCAAGTAGCATTGTGTTGTGTAAATGTCCCATAGCTGTTTTATCCACTCATCTGCTGATGAGCATTTGGGCTGCTTCCAAATCTTGCCTATTGTAAATAACACTGCAATGAACATAGGCATGCATATATTCTTTCAAATTAGTTTTTTGCGTTTCTTTGGATATAGTCCCAGAAGTGGAATCACTACGTTATGGGACAGTTCCATTTTTAATTTTTTGACGTAACTCCATATTGCTTTCCACAGTGGCTGCACTCAGATTGGTTTTTTTTTTTCATAGTAATATGCATTTAAGTTCTCCCCATGTCTTTTCATGGCTTGATAGCTCATTTCTTTTACATACTGAATAATATTCCATTGTCTGGATGTACCACAGTTTATTTATCCATTTACCTAAGGACAACTAAGGACATCTTGGTTGTTTCCAGGCTTTGGCAATTATGAACAAAACTGTTGTAAAAACATCCATGTGGAGGTTTTTGTGTGGACGTAGGTTTTCACCTTACTGGAGTAAATACCAAACTCTAGCCTAATCTAATCAGCACAATTGCTGGATCTTATGTTAAGAGTGCGTTTAGTTTTGTAAGAAACTACCAAACTGTCTTCCAAAGTGGCTCTATCATTTTGCATTCCCTTCATCAATGAATGAGAGTTCCTATTGCTCCACATCCTCACCAGCATTTGGTGGTGTCAGTGTTCTGGATTTTGGCCATTCTAATAGGTATGCAGCAATATCTCATGGTTGTTTTAATTTGCTTTTCCCTGATGGTGTGGAGCATCTATTCATATACTTATTTACTGTCTGTATATAGTCTTTGGTGAGGTGTCTGTGAAAGTCTTTGGCCCAATTTTTAGTCAAGTTGTTTTCTTATTGTTGAGTTTCAAGTGTTGTTTTGTATATTTTGGATAACAGTCATTCATCAGATGTGTCTTTTGCAAATATTTTCTCCTAGTCTGTGGTTTGTCTTCTCATTTTCTTGCTTAATGCTCTTTTAAAATTATGTACTCTACCTTTTGCATTGCTAACATATATATATATGATATAATATGATATTAGTTTCAGGTGTACAACCCCGTGATTAGACATTTATATAACTTACAAAGTGATCACTCTGATAAATCTAGTGCCCATGTGACACCATACATAGTTTTTACATATTATTGACTATATTCCCCATGTTGCACTTGACATCCCTGGGACAGTTCTGTAACTACCAATGTGTACTTCTTAATTCCTTCCCCTTTTTCACTCATGTCCCCAATCTCCTCCCATCTGGCAACCATCAAAATGTTCTCTGTATCTATGAGTTTGTTTCTGTTTTGTTTGTTCATTTATTTTGTTTTTTAGATTCCACATAAAAGTGAAACCATATGGTATTTGTCTTTCTCTGTCTGACGTATTTCGCCCAGCCTAATAGATGTACAATTTCTTTAACTAGCTCCCTATTGGGGGACATTTAGATTATTTGCAATTTTCTGCTGTTACTAACAATGCTGCAGAAATCCTTATAAAATACATCAGTTCCCACATGGGCAAATATATCTGTAGAATAAATTCCTAGAAGTAGAGTTGCTTTGGTCAAAGGGTGTGACTTTAATATATTTATAAAATGTTTATTTCAGCGCTCATGGAAAGACTGAACAACCTGAAATGTTGCCTTTGCTGGAAGGCCTCTTTGGAGTTTATCACAGAAACCATCAAGTGCTTGGCTTTGAAGTGTTTGTCTATGATTTTGATCTACTGCAAGCTTGTTCCTTCTTTCCCCCAATATGTATCAAGCAAATACTGCATGCTAGGCATGTTGGTAGGCTTTGGGGATAAAACCACAAACAAGGAGACATGGTCACTGCCCTCATAATATTTACAGTTCAGGAGGTCGGGGTTGTGGGGGAGAGGAGTGCACATGAAATAAATAATTATACACCAAATTACTACCAAGTGTGTCACATGCCATGAAGGAGAAGTATCGGGTGACCAAAGGTGTTTACTAGGTTCCTGACTTTGGGGATCTGAGAAGACTTCCTAGAGGAAGTGATGTCTATTCTGATCAATGGGAGAGATTCAGCTAGGCAGAGGAAATGGTAGGTCTGAAGGCTTGGAGTCAGGAAGGAGTGTACAGTAGGGCCAGCAGCATGGATTATAGGATCAAGAAAAGGCCTTCAAGGTCATTCAGTTCCAATCTCCTCACTTGACATGTGAACAAACTTAGGTTCAAATAACTAAACGGGCTTGGTCAAGGTTATATAGATAGTGGCAGAGCTAGGACTTGGACCTGGCTCCTCTGTTATTTTTCAGATGGTGCCGTGCTGCAAAATACAGCATGCCCTTCCTGGGGTCTACAGATCTAAGCTAGACATCTATGGGATAATTGCCTAGGTTCATGTGGAGGGAGTACTTAGTTCAGGTCCTGTGACCAGCAGCCTGACATGTTTTTTTTTTCTCTTTACTACTAAGATACAGTTTGGGCAAATGGCAGTGTAGCATTCCAGTCTCGTGGGTTGGTTCAGTCCTCAGCATACTTGTCTCTTCTCCAAGTTCAGATAATAAATAATAATGATATTAATAATGATAGTTACTTATATAGTGCTTGCTATATGGCAAATGCTGTTCTAAGCATTTTATATGTATTTCATTTAATCTTGACAATCCTCTAAGGTAGGTATTATTATCACCCCATTTTACAGATGAGGAAATTGAAGCTCATAACATCAAGGGATTTGCTCACTGTCACAGAGCCAGTGACTGGCAATGCATGGACTCAGTCCATGCAGTCTGGCTTTAGGGCCCACATACTTTTCCCAATCACTCTCAGTGTCAGCAGCAAGCTAGCAGACTCAGGTCTGGATCCTGAGCAGCCTTGTGCTTTAGGCCTACACAACCCTGGCTGCTCATCAGAACCACTTGGGGAGCTTGCCAAAAATGCTGATGTCCAGGCCTCACTCCAGGTCAGTTAAATCACAGCCTCCAGGGGTGGATTCCAATCACTGATGGTTTTAAAAAGCTTCCCTTGTTAGTCCAATATGCAGCTAAGGGTTGAGAAGCACTGGTATATAGCCTTACCATTCCTTCCTCCTTTGGATGTGTTTCCGTTTAAGCTGGTATAACAAAATATCATAGACTGGGTGGCTTAAGAAACACTTACTTCTCACAGTTCTGGAGGCTGGGAAGTCCAAGATCAAGGTGGCAGTAGATTCAGTGTGTGGTGAGAACCTACCTCCTGGTTCGCAGACAGCCACCTTCGTGCTTGTGTCCTCACATTGTGGAGTGAGAGAGATCATCTCTCTAAGTCTCTCGTTATAAGGGCACTAATCCCATTCATGAGAGCTCCACCCCCATGACCTAATCACTTCCCAAAGGCCCCATCTCTACATACTGTCACACTGGGGGTTAGGGCTTCGACATATGAGTTGTGGGGGCACACAAAATTTCAGTCTATAGCAGGAAGCAACCAGCAATACATGTTTTCCTTTGTGTTCTGAGTATCAGTTTAGGATGACACTTGTAGAGGCATTGATTCACACCACACCATGAGTTCCAGTCTTAGCATAAAGAATTCATTCAGTGCCTTGGCTGGTGTGGCTCAGTTGGTTGGAGCATTGTCCCATAAACTGAAAGGTCACGGGTTCAATTCCTGGTCAGGGTACATGCCCAGGTTGCAGGTTTGGTTTTCTGTCAGTGTGCACAGAAAATCTGTCCACATATGAGAACAGTATCCAGTGGGGGTGCATATGGGAGGCAGCTGATGTTCCTCTCTCACATCAGTGTTTCTCTCCCTCTCTCTCCCTCCTTTCCCCTCTCACTAAAATCAATGAACAGGTCCTTGGGTGATGATTTTAAAAAAGGGTTCATTCAGTGCACATGCTTTGGCAGCCACATTCAATGCTGGTGTGTGGTAACAAGCGTATCAAGGGCTAAGTTAGCATTCTCGGTGCTGGGTATCAGGAAACAGTGCAGCTTAGTGGTCGAGAGCTTTATTCTGCATCAAACATACCCAAACTCAAGTGGATGCTTTGTCTCTCATGTTCTGTGATCTTAGAGATTTGTCCTTTCACCAACTCCATTTTGTCATCTATAAAGTCTGGCTAATAAGATAATATTGCCTGTCTCATGAGGATTTTGTGGAGATTAAATGAGCCAGAACATGTGAAGGACTCAGTGTAATGCCTGGTACCTAACACCCAGTAAACATTGGCCTTTTTTTTTTTTTTTTTTTTTTTTTTTTTTTTACTTTATGACCATTCATGTAGCTTATTTGAGCCTGGTCACAGGTAAACAGTTGTATTTGGAAAAAACTACTAGTGACACTGATACTGAGGGCAATTTGGTTTGACATTTACTGAGTGCCTGATATATGCAATGAAGGATGCTAGGCCCTGAAGAGCTAGAACAGTGAGAAAGGCCTGATACCTGCTCCCCTAAGCTCGTAGGCTGCCAGCCCAGATACTGTACCCAGATAACTCATACCAGATAGACCGTGCCACAGCAGAAGTCTAAATGAGGGGAGGAATCAGTTAAGACAAGGAAACAGGGGCACTTAAAAAGGTTAAGGACATGGGAGTGTGTGTTGATCATGTCCAGAAGGCATAGGTTGGGAAGGAACGTTAAGTGTGAAGTTGAGGCTGTCCCAAATGGCTGCTTCCTTCCAGGCAAAATAAGCCACAAATTTGTGAGTGATGCGCCATGAATTTACTGCATGTTAATATTCATTTCAAGCCCATGGAACAAGAGCCCTGTGACAGCCATTCTTTGACATCTTCTTGGCCAGGAGCACGGCATCCGGAGTCCAGACTTGAGACCCTGGCTACTTTGACTGGAACATTTATTTCCTGGTGACTAAATCACCTCATCCCACCTCCTATTTCCTGTCAGGCTCAGAGCCCCTACCTTCCCCACTGTGGAGGAGTAGATGTCCATTTCTCAGGAGCCACGGACTGCTTCCGGCAGATAGTGAAGGCCCAAGGGGTACTGGGGCTCTGGAATGGATTGGCAGCCAACTTATTGAAGGTGAGAAGAGTGGTCACTCTCTACCGTTTCTCTACTTCTTCCAGCTCTTTTGCTCCCCCGCCCCCGCCCCGTCGTTTGGGTGGAAACGCCCCCTCTAGTATTGATAGTAACCCAAGGCCCATGAGTACAGCTGTCAGCCCTGGAGAGAGAGGGCCCTGTGCAACGTTGGGGCATCTGATACCCCATCCCAGAGGAGCTGATCATGTAATATAGAGCTTCCTACCATGGGGGTTCATGGGCTCCCAAGGGGAACCTAACCCCCATCCTAAAATTGTATGCAAAAATGCGGATGTGTGTGCATATGTGACCTTCTGGGGAAAGGATCCATAAGCTTTCATCATATTCCCAAAAAAACTCCATGACCCCAAAAAAAAAAAAAAGTTTAAGAACTCTGGATTGATCTGACCAGTGTGGCTCAGTTAATTGGGCATCGTTCTGCAAAGCAAAAGGTCACTGGTTCCACGCCTAGTCAGGGCACACACCTGGGTTTCCGGTCCAGTCCTAGATGGGGCATGTACAAGAAGCAACCAATGTTTCTCTCCCTCTCTTTCTCCCTCCCTTCCCCTCTCTCTGAAAATAAATAAATAGAACCTTTTTTTTTTTAAAAAAAAAAGGAACCTGGATTAGCCTTGCATTAGTTGACACATAAATGGTTCCAATCAAGACAAGCACATGTTGACAGAAGCATCATATTGTCTGCATGTATATGAATACAGACCTGTGCTTCCCCACGGCCCTTCAACAGCTCTGCCATTCCTCACCCCCCACCCGCCATCTTCCAATTCCAATATGAATGACCACGTTGTATTATCCACAGCCTTTAACTCAGTTTATCCTGATTAAAGTTGACTGCAGACACATTGACACTTTAAGATTTTAACACGATTTTTATTTTATTTTTGAACAGATAGTTCCATATTTTGGAGTTATGTTTGGTACCTTTGAGTTCTGCAAGAGAATCTGTCTTTACCAAAATGGTTACATTGTGTCACCTCTGAGCTATAAATTGACCCCAGGGGTGGATCAGAGTTTGAAGCCCCAGGAATTACGAGAATTAAAGAAGTTCTTCAAAACTGGAAAACTAAATTCTAGAAAACCGACTCTTTAAAACTGAATGGAACTAGAAGTGCACTGACTGAAGGCGTGTTGCAATCACAGATAAATGTAGCCTCATAATTGCACACGTGTGGACTGGTAGGAGGGTACTCTGGTCTGCTGCTCTTGGAAATGAGAAGATTCAGCCACAGGCAACCTCTGAGCTCCAAACTGATGTCCCTGGGAACAACTGCACCATGGGAAGGTTCCCCAACATGACTGTCTCCTGATAACATTCCACAAGGTTTTGTAACAAACACTAGCAGTAATGATATGTGCCAGTTACACACCACCAAAGGGCATTGTCATGACACCTCAAAGTGACATGTAGTTGAAGTGGCTGAGCAGAGACCATGTCATGCGCTCAGTCACAGGGTCACAGCTTGCACTAACCCCTATTGGCCTAGTTTTGCTCAATTTGACCTGAGACTTCCTAACATAATCATTTTGGAACTTACAATCTTTGCTGACTTCTGAATGTACTCATTACAGTGCAAATTATGTATTATTGGAAGCTAAATGAAAATGTTTAACATAAAAAAGTTAGGACTATCGTAGTAGAATCATCCTTTACTTAAATTTGAAGCAGCCAGGCTTAGAATCTTGTGTTTCAGGAAGGCAGGTTTTAACATGACTGCTTAATCATGCTCCTAAAGACCTTCTTCCAGTTGAAGTCATGTACAGTTTAAGTGGCCTGAATTCTCTGCCTTTTTAACTTGCTTTGCAAGCCTACCCTGAAAATAAATTATTTAGTCAATGTACATTATTCTTACAAGATGTCCCAGTTGCCTAGAAAGGATCAAATAGAGCATTTTACACACATACCAAAAAAAATAACCAAACAGCTTGGGTTAATCATCTTTATTAGATTTTTTAAAAAGTCAAATGTTGGATTGTTCCACCTTGGGGATTCTGTGTCAAGTTTATATAACCGTACTTTTGAATAGTGCCTATCTATGCATTAAACAATAACATTATGATAATAATTTATACACACACAAGCTTCCAGTATGTTGAAAGTGTTTTTCCCTATTAAATTTATTTTCTAAATAAAAATGATGTTAGTCATTTCTTACTAATCTGAGCTATAAAATTATGGTTAAATATATACAGGCCAAAATCTTTAAATTCTCAGAAACTTGTCCTATTGAAATACGCCAAAATAACCCATTTTTCCAATTGTCATGGCAGGTGGTTTTATGGGGAAATGGCAGTTAATACACACATGAAAATCTCATCTGTAGCCCAGTCTGTTAGAGTTTGGAGAACGGCAAACTTTAGCAAGAGTGAATAGTTCATGATTGTTACTCTTTATTTCCCTTGAGGTGAACAATTATTTTAAATTCTGAAAACTGCAAAAATTTTGTTTTACTAAATCTAAAATCCTAATGGTTACTTACCTCATATCAGTATCTTTTTAAAATTGTTTTAATTTATTGATTTTAGAGAAAGAGGAAGAGAGAATAAAACACCAATTTGCTGACCCACTTATTTATGCAGTCACTGCTTGCTTTTTGTATGCGCCCTGACGAGATCAAACCCTCAACCTTGGCATATCGGAAAGGTGTTCTAACCCACTGAGCTACAGGGCCAAGGCCTCATACCAATATCTCCTGTGTATTCTTCCACAGGTATGATGAAATAGATAGCTAAGCTCTTGCTACTGCCATACATAGGAATGTTTTCTGAGCTGCTGTTTTGATTTTTGTAAAAAAATAAAATAAGGAAGGAGGGGAAAGTATATGCTTCATTTTTCTAATTTCAAAAGAACTCTTTAAAAAAACTCTAGCTCTGGCCCTGGTTGGGAAGCTCACTTGGTTGGAGCATCATTGTGATGTGCCAAGGTTAAGGGTTAGAGCCCTGGTCAGGGCATATACAGGAAGCAACCAGTGAATACATAGAAAAGTAGGACGGCAAGTCAACGTTCTCTCTCTCTCTCTCTCTCTCTCTCTCTCTCTCCCTCCCTCCCTCTCCCTTTCCCCTCTCTCCTTCCCTCCCTTCTTCTCACTGTCTAAAAAAAAAAAAACCTCTAGCTCTGTTTCTAAAATGAACTTACAGCTATTTACATTTTCTCAGTGTTATAAAGGGAGTGTTTTGCTTTATGGTTTGCAGTGCGCACCAAACCGGACTAAGTACTTTAGGAGAATTACATAAAGCATGATGCATATGATCCAGGAGTAACTTACAGTCTTAAGGAACAAAACTTACCTACATACATGAAGTGACTATGATTACAAAACAAATATAAGCAAAGGCATGATAACATGGTAAGAGCTGTTTACAAGATGGCCAAGCGGTTCTGTGTGTACTTGCTGAATCTATGATTAACAGGATCATCAGACGAGAGGGGCCAATATTGGGCTTGGGGATTTGGAGGTAATGAGTCTTGAACTAAATTTTGAAGGAACTGAGAGGATATTAGTTGGTCAAGAATAAGCTGGAGGGCATTGCAGGTTGAGGCGGGCCATGTGCAGTGTCTCAGACATGGAAGCAAGCAAAAGATGTTTGGGAAAGAGTAAGAAGACTGGCTTCATGCATTTATTCAGCTGCTGGGCAATCTGGACCCAATGTTATATAAGTCCGATAAGGTCCTAGCCCTCCTGGAGCTTGCATTCCAGTGAAAGCAGCAGTCAATAAAGAAATAAATGAGCCCTGGCTGGTGTGGCTCAGTGGACTGAGCGCTGGCCTGCAAACCAAAGGGTTGCTGGTTCGATTCCCAGTCAGGACATATGCCCGGGTTGCGGGCCAGGTCCTCAGTAGGGGATGCACAAGAGGCAACCACACATTGATGTTTCTCCCTCTCTTTCTCCCTCCCTTCCCCTCTCAGAAAATAAATAAAATATTTTAAAAATAAATAAATGAATCTACAAGATTGTAATGGTATGAGGGAAATAAACAGAGTGCTTTATTAGAGAAATATGTGGAAGTGAAGGAACTGTTTTAAATCAGGGAGCCAGGAAAGACCACTCTGAGATGTGACATTTGAGATGAGACCTGGAAGGTGAGAATGAGCCAACCATGCAAAAGCTAGGGAGAACATTCCTGGCGGAGAAAGCAGAAGGTGCCAAAGTGGTGCTGCTAGTGGGGAAAGGCTTAGTGAACAGAAAAGAGGTGTGTGTGGCCAGGATGGTGTGTGAGTGAGTGAGTGTGTAAGATGAAGTTGGATAGGGAACCAGATCATATGTGGCCATTTGGGCCACAGTAAGAAGTTCGATTTTACTCTAAATGCAGTGGAGAATTCATTTTCCTAATAAACCAAAAGGTCACCAGTATGATTCCCGCTCAGGGCACATAGCTGGGTTGTGGGCCAGAGAAGATACAATCTGATTTTCATTTTTAAAATTTGCTTCTGGTTGCTGTATGGATAATCGATTGGAGGGAAGCGGGGCTGTGAATGGGAAGACCAGTGAAGACACTATTACAAATTCCAAGTAAGAGACATGATGGCTCGGAGTAGAATGGTAGCAATAAACATGGAGAGGAGTGAATGGGTTCAAGACCTATTTTGGAGTTGGAGTCGGCAGGATTCGCTGGATGGTTGAATGTAGGGAATAAAAACAAGGAATCAAAATGGCACCTAGGTTTTTGGCTTTTGACTTGAGTAACAAGGTAGATAATGTTGCCATTTACTAAAGTGGAAAAGACTGGTGAAGGCCAGAGTGTTGGTGGAAAAAGAATTAAAAGGTCTCTTTTGGAAATGTTAAATTCAAAATGCCCTATGAGACATCCAAGTAGACAGCTGTCTGGAGTGTAGACTGTGTGTAATTGTCCAAATCAGTTATGGTAAATAGAATAATGACCCCCCAAGGGTCTCCACACCCTAATCCCTAGAACCTGTGAACATTTACCTTACATGGCAAACAGGGCTTTGCACATGTGATTAAGGTTGAAATTATCATTTATTATGGTTTATCTGGAGGGGCCCAATCACAAGAGGAAGATGGAAGAATAGGGCAGAACAAGAGGCAGAAGAAATGGGGCGTGAAAAGAACTTTACTCACACCGGCTGTGGCTGGCTGTGAAGATAAAGGTACCCAGGAACCAAGGAATGGGGTGGCCTCTAGAAGCTGAGAATAACCCTCAGCTGACTGCCAGCAAGGAAATGGGGACTTCAGTCTTACAACCACAAGGAACTGAACTCAGCTAACAACCTGAATGAGCCAGGAAACAGACTTTCCCTGACACCTTCCAGGAAGGGACACATTCTGGCCAGGCACCTTTATTTTAGCCCAGTGAGACCCACATCAGACTTCTGATCTCCGTAACTGTAAGATAATAAATTTGTCTTAAGCCACTGAGTTTGCAGTAATTTGTTACAGCACCAATAGAAAACTAATATTTCAGAACACGCTTAATCATAAATCAGAAATGTCCTGGGAAAAAACGAGGAAAAGTCTGCAGTTTAGGGGACAGTGGTGACTGGAGACAGAAATTTGGGTGTCATCAGTACATAGATGGCATTTAAAGCAAAGAGACTGAATGAGACCACCAAAGGAATGGATGGGAAGAAACCCCTGGGGGAGGGGGAAACAACAAAAAATGACTGAAGAAAGGCCTTGAGGCCCTGGCCAGGTGGCTCAGTTGATTTGAGTGTCATCCCCATGCACCAAAAGGTTGCCAGTTCAATATCCGGTATCTGGTTGCATATTGATGTTTCTTTATCTCTCTCTCCTCTCCCCCTCCCCTGCCCTTCCTCTCTCTCTAAAAAACAATAACAACAACAACAAAAAAAACCCAAGAACAACAAATATATCCTTGGGTGAGGAATTAAAAAAAAAAAAAAGGCCTCAAGCAACACGTGGAAGAACTGGAACTCTTGGGCTCTACTGTTGGGGATCTAAAACGGTACACTCGTCCTGACTGGTGTGGCTCAGTGGATTGAGCACCCGCCTGTGAACCGAAAAGTTGCCAGTTCGATTCCTGGTCAGGGCACATGCCTGGGTTGTGGGCCTGGTACCCAGTTGGGAACATGGGAGAACCAATCAATGTATCTCTCATACACCGATGTTTCTCTCTCTCTCTTTCTCCCTTCCTTCCCCTCAAAAATAAATAAATAAAACCATAAAAAATAAAATGGTACCATCATTTTACAGTCTGGTAATTCCTCAAGTGGTTCCCCATGGAGTTACCATATGGTCCAGCAATTCCACTCCTAGGTATATATACCACAGAAACAAAAACGTATGTTTGCATACAAACTTGTACAGGCATGTTCATAGCAGCATCACTCATAACAGGCAAAAAGTGGAAATGACCCAAATGCCTATCAACT